AAAAGGAGAAAACATGTAGCATTCATGGTGGTAGTGGCTCAAAGGGCTAAAACTATATCAGACTACTGAGACTGAAAATATGAGAACAAATTTATACATGTAATTTGTGAAGCCAGCTGGTTCTAGGTGTGCTCCAAGTCAATGTCCATGGAAACTTCAACGAAAATGAGTTTCTTTGTTCCCCAAGTTATATCCTCTTTATCCATGTCCTAAAGTCGATTAGGAACACGAACCCAATGACCCCGATGGTAAAGGAATTATTGTTATTTCTTGAGGTCTCGAATTCGAACATCAAGAATATTATGGGTACGAGCGTTTAATGTCAAAAGATTGAGAGTTATCTTTAAACAAATACTACCTTATACTTACCTCAGATTTTAAAAAAATAATAATAATATAGTGAATTTTAAAAAAATAGTCAATTAGAAAGATAATGTAAACATATTCCAAATAAATTAACTAATTGAGTTTTAGGTTCAAACACACACACACACGAAGAGCAGTTTAATATATTAATATTTTTATAAATTGATTATTATAATTTTATTTATCTTATAAATAAATTTTTTAGTTAAATCTTATATTTATCACATATGGATATCATTGTAATATTACTTTTTAATATATATTTTTTATCAAATAAATATGTAAGTAATGAGAATTAAATGTATAATTATATCAATTTTTCATTGATTTGATGACATCATTTATATAATTAAGTGGTCTTATTCAAAAAATTAAAAGATTGATGGTCAAATTAGAATTTCCATAAAACTAAATGGTTATCCATGAATATTACCCAAAAATATTCCAAATTAATTAAGGGTAAACTATGTTTTTCATTGCTCAACTTTACCTAAATTCATATTTTTATCACTAGATTATAAAAATTTTAATTTTGATTAGTGAACTTTTAAATTTTTGTGGTTTGATCACTCTAATGATAACTTATCATATATTTTTAATTTAACGTTTGAGTGATCAAAATAAGAGTAATGTGAAAATTGAGTGATCAAATTAAAAAAAGAACAAAGTTTAATGATAAAAACAAAAACATATGCAAAATTGAATGATTAAAAAGTATATTTTACCCATTCATTAAATAAGAGAGTTTTAGGTGAAAATATATATTGATTTTTTGTTTTTGTTTTATAGTTCATATTAGAGTTTATGATTATCCTTCTCAACAATATCATTTAAAATGTTCCAATACAAACTCTCTCCTATCTAATCATTCAATGGTCTCAATAATAAAAGGGAATGGTATTCTTCTTAAAGGACTCGAATCTTAACATATACATATGCAAGTTGAGTATGTGTTGTCAAAGAATTAAAAAAATCTAAATAGATATTATCTTTTAATCATTTCAAACTATCCAAAAATATTATTAAATTTTTTTATGTCATAATAAATGTTTAGGGATTTTTAAAGTCTGAAGAAAAATAATCATATTTTCTATTCACTGCTCCATATCATTATTTAAATCCCTAGGGTAAATTATAAATTTTGAAAAACATAGATAATATTATGAATATATTTATTTAATTTTAAAAAATAATTCTACCATATATACTCAATTTAAAAGAATTTATATTTAAAAGTGAAAAACTCCAAAGATTAATGGGTGTGTTTTTGGGCTTTGGATGGATTAATGTTCAAGTATTTTGAGGATGCGGATCATGTTTTGTGTCACTGTAGAATATGTATGGCGAAGGGTGATCTGAGGTGAGCTGAGAGGTTGGGTGAGTTTGTTTATGAGGATTGAGTTGGACACAGCCTAGGTTCATTAGTTATGTTTGGTCGTACGAATTAATGCCATCTGATTTGCTGTTTATTGTTGGGTTTAGTGTGCTTTTGGATCCTGATTATGTGCAAAGAGAGGACTTAGTGATTCGATGTAACAAAGTAGCTCAAGAGTTTGTCAATGCCAATGTCCCAACTGCAGGTTCTATTTCCTTATTCACTAACACTCCATTGGTGTGGCTTTGGCCTAATGATAACATGGCGGTTGCAGGCTCTTGTTGCATAACTAGCTGCTATTTATGAATTTGAGATTAGGTTACAAAGATTTGGTACGTCTGTCGAGAGCAGCATGCTTGGCTGCATTAAGCCATAGTGCTTTCATTGGTGTAGCTGTATTCATGGAGCCTCCTCTGGAGCTGGCTGCTATTCTGTAAAAGGACCTACTTCTACTTGAGATTAGTTAGCTTCTAGTTCTTTTTTGTATCAGCAAACAATATTTGGTAATTATTATGAACATTTTTAAAATTATTATATCAGTGCAGAATAAATAGCAATAACAAAGTTTTGAATATAAAGTTAAAAAACAACAACAATAACTTGATTAACTTCAGCAATCTTATACGGAACATTTAAGAAGATAGATACAAAGAAAGGAATTAAACAGTGAGTCGACCATCAAACGATATATATAATGTACGTTGATGATGACGATACGATGGTGGTTAATACAAATTACGCACAGGGCGGCGGAGGAGGTGGATGATTGTTAGGAGGAGGAGCCAATTGATGAACAATAAAATTGCTTTTAGGTGGTGGTGGCGGCGGCCGTCGACGCCAACGCCGTGGATGGATCGCCCTTGCAGACACCGCATGGAACTCGTGAGACAAATAGCGGGAAGAGATGTCGTCGGAAGTGGAGGTTTGAACAGCTTTAGTCTCCATGTCTATGGCGTGAGAATTTGAAATTAATAATCCAAAAATAAAGAGGGAAATCATCCGCCATGGAATTGTATTCATGGTGCCTATAACTTGTGGGATTTTTCTTTTCTTTTTCAATCTTTAAAGGAGAGGAAAAAGAAAGGGCTAATTTTATATGCTGGAACTTGTGCGAGACAGCTGGTGGTTGGTAGGTGTGTTCCAAGTCAACGAATGAAAAGTCTTTAACTACTAGGTAAAATCAATTTTAATATTACATTTGACTTAAAAGTTATTTCATTTAATTTATAAATTATTTTTAAAAGTGTCTTTTAATAAACTTATAACTCAATTTATAATATTTATATTTTTTTTCTATATCGATTAATCGATTATATATATGTGGAAAGAAAACAGCATAGGGATACATTTTTTCCTTTGTCCGACCTTCTTTAAAGTCAATGAAATAACATTTTTCAAAATTAGTAGGGTTTTAGTTTCAAAATATATTTCCGTAAAGACCAGTAGATGTTCATACTGTGTAGTAAGTACTAAGCAAATGAGAGTTAAATAGGTCAAAATTTTCAACTTATAATTTTATGTGAATTTATATATATATAGAAAATGAATATTGAATTTGTATTTAAAAGGTTAAAATAGAGAATTGTAAATCTTAGATTCAATCGTTATTGTTGTCAATGATAAATGGTGACTCATGACTAAAGGTTGATAAATGGTGACTCATGACTAAAGGTTTTGATTGTATTTTAGGGTTGATGGAGATTTGCTTTTTAAAGGTAAAAATGAATGAAAGAATTCATGTTAAATTGATATTTTATCTAAATTTTAGAGATAAAATTAAAAATATATATTTTATTAATGTGTAATAGATTATCGAAGTAACAAGAATTAATGATTCAATAATTAAATTGTAATAAAATTAATAATGTAAGTGAACGAAATAATTTTTCTTTTTAAATTCAATGATTAAAATAAGACAACGGAAACAAAAGTGACTTCCAAGATAATTTACCCAGAAAAATTTCATAAAAAATCTGAATCACGATCTAACCCTCTTAAGTTAATAATTAGACATTTTACATGAATAAAACATCGAATATGAATATATGATCCACATATTATGTACAGGAGGATCTTTAAAATCATACGGAAACCAAAATTATTTTGTAATCAAGTAGAAAGAGACAGGACGATCCAAATCAAACATTTATTTCCAATGATTAAAAAGTATGCTACGGACATGGTCCTTGCGCCGGCGATGACGGCGGTGGAACCGGTGCGAGCATGGTTTTATGCTGACGAGGCATAGGTGGAGGTGGTGGCGATAATTCTACGACCTTGTGAAGCCATATCTGCAGGGAAGATGAAGCAGAAGGAACCCTTCGTGCTACGCTGAAACCAACCTGTGAAAGAAGCAATCCATGGATCAAAACCAAAGTAAGCCAGCGTTGAATATTGCAATTAATTTTCTGTTTCGTCATCTTGTTGAGAGCAGTTGTGTTGGATCAAAGCTCTATGCTCATTTATATGTGTGTGTATATATATATATTAATTGGGAGGAAATTTCTGTATGATTCATCAGATTGTAGAACTTGTCAACCTGTGTTTTTGCCATTGAATAGAAGAAAAAGATTGTATTGGAAAGGTTTAATTTGCTTTGTAATTTATTCCTTATCGTGTTAATTTTCTATATAATCTCGTGGGAAGAACATTGAGGATGACATGTAAGAGAAAACATGTTATTTAAAATATAAATATATTTGGGATAAATAGCATTATGGCTCTTTCTTCCCTTGCCGTACATTATGACTTTCAAGTCTTGGATTTAATCAATGTTTATTTTTTCGTATATATTTTTTAGAATGAATTTTACTTTAATATATCACTTAATTTCATTGGATAATATATCTTAAACAGCACAAACAAATTGACTTTAGTGGTTAAAAGACTCATTATTTTCCCTAGAGGTCACGGGTTCGGACACCGACAAGGTATGAGCGTTCATAATTATTTGATTAACGATTTATTTGATGAAATAAATAAATTTAGATTTTATATGCAAGTATCAACTTGTAAAATTTATTTAATTTTTTTCATTTTAAAAAATAATATATATTCAGAACTCTTCCATCAACAATATTATACAACTTGAGTGCTTCTATGAAGATTGGACTTATGCTATAATGCTAGGGTGTAAATTAGCTGCTCAGAGTTCAATTTGTGAAGGGAAAAAAGTACTCCCAATACTCTTGCATCAAATACATATCGTTTCTACAGTGTCAAGATAATAAATTACAATCATCCATGAAAGTTTTTTTTTTTTTTGGAAGTTACATCCATCCATGGAAGTTAAGCACATAAAATCAAGCCCTTTGAACCAGAAACATCCAAGGAGAATTTCATTGTACATACAAATGGAAAAAAATTAATGAAGAAAATGTATTATACAAGCTCCTTGCCCTAAAAACTATTTGAGAACTTGGAGATTCATGATGGCTTCAGCCCCCTTAACGCCGCAGCAAAAATCTAAACATATAAACATTGAGCAGTCACACGTTAGATGGTGCTATCTGAAGTTCAAATTGTTCCATTTGTTCAAATAGACAGGTTAAAAAAACTATGTTACTTGGACTGGGGTATGAGTGTCAGACATGTCCAACATGAGTATATTCAAAATGGAAAAAGAAAAAACCCAAGTTTTTTTATGTATAGAGTGGAGTAACATATTTTAACAGTTAAAAGTCAGAAATCTGATCGAAGCAAATGACTGCTTACCTTAGATGGGGCACCGGTGTCCTGTTTCAGACGCGCAGTAGGTTGACTGCGACTACTGCTTCCCTCTTCCTCAACATCGTCACTTTGCTTTGAGGCTGCATTTGCTTCTATGGATCCTTCCTTCAAGTTACCATTGGGTATTCTATAGTCGTCTATAAATATTGTCTGTGTTTCAGTTGATGTCGAATCATGTGTATTATTTGGTATGGTATTTGTACGAATATTTTGGTCCTTTGAAAACTGTATAGCGGCTGCACGTGCACCAGCTATTGCTGCACTGAGACTAGATGATTTCTTGATGGAAGATGCTTTTGAATTCAGAACGGATGCAGCAATTGATCCTGGCTTCAAGGAGAAAGGATCTCTCGGATTTGGCAACTGAAATTTTACTGGTGCGGGACTATCAACTGGGACAAGGCCTCTAACAGCAGCCTCATATATCTGTTACAAATATTTTGATCAATATCAATTCAAAGCAAATTGAGAGAGAGTGACATAAGGATAACTTCTTGCATGCCGTTACCTTTTTTTCCAGATTATAAACACGTTGGAAGCCCCGCATCTCGAATGGGACCAACAATTTCTACAAAAGAAAAATAAACCACAATACAATATCTAATTGAAAAGAAATGGATTAAAGAACAAATAGAATAGCAACTATCCATGTAAGTAAAACCTTTGGTTGTTCACAAAGCCAGCAAAAATCGGTTTGTCCTTCTAGCCTAACCTGGGAGCATGAAGAAGAAAAAAGAGAAGGAACAAAAATCAGTGAATCGGAATCATTGCATATTATGTTGAGTACCGAATAACATAAGAGTGAGAAAAGTTGCCCACCCCTTCAGGTAGGGCCTCCCATTGAACTAGTTCTTCACATGTCAAACAGCCAACCACTTCGACACACCCTATGCCAATACAATAATTAATCTAGATTAGAAAAAAGAATAAGAAAATGTGGCCATTCGGAATTTCAGTAATCTTTCTACATTTCAAAAACCAAACCCATAAAATCATTTTATCAATTTATGATGTATTAATCTGAGGAAATAATGCAAAAAGAAAACAAGCAATAAAGTAACATAAATATCAAAAGAGATCAAATGAGTATAAAAAGGACTAACCTAGCAGTCTAGAAACAGGGTAGTGTTCTGGAAATTTAATATCGGTAATTCCATTCACTGCATGAATTTCCCTATAGAAATCCTCCATTGCTTTGATTGTAGATTCATCTGGGACTTTACTGGCAGCATGTATCCAAAGGCGGCCTGGAACGATAATACACTATTTTACTTAAGAGGCAGCTTCATTTGGCAGAACATGAAAGAAAAGGCATACTAGCTAAAAATGCATCGAAACTATCATTTATCTAAAACAATATAGACATTCCCAATTTGGGGCTAATGCAATAACATTGAATCACAAAATATCTTGCTGGAGTCTTATAGAAATATTTCTCCAATCGGAACAGTCCGGTTCAACCAGGCATGAAAAAGCTTATTGCTATGAAAGCCTGAATATCTAATTATATTAAACTAAAGAAAATCAAAGTTGATTTATTACCCCTTTTAATTCACTGCCTCAGTGTCTCTTCCCAGTTTCATGTTATGGAGCCAATATCAACTTTAATTAGAAGTATCCCAAAAATGGAACATATGAACAAGTCAAAATAATCAAAATATATTGAAAGTCAGTAATTCTTTCTCAAGACCGTCATTATTGTGAGATTGAAAACATTCTGAAACTTAGAAAATAAAAAATTTGGACCTTCTTCTACTCCTAACAAGCATGATTTATATAAAAAGCAACAGAAAATAAATATAAGAACACCAAATTAAGTTACAATACAAAGCAGCATAAACAGTCGATAACACCAGAACTTTTCTTCATTGTTGAGTAAAGACTAGATATCAACCAACCCCATGACTTTAAATCCTATAAGAACTTATCATGGAGAAAATTATAACCACAAAGAGCATAAATTTGGTACTTTACCAAAATTTTACTAACATATTTTAGTTTTTTTCTCGAAAATAAAAGAACCCCATAAATATAACCCAATAATAAAATATGGGTATTCGGTTTATGCATCAATTTGAAAGCTTGATTTAAAAGCGGGTACCTTTAATTGGAGCAGGCCAAGATCTTCCTTCAATACGTTTGATCCCATAAACTAACAAAGAAGCCCATGGCTGATGCATCGTTAAACATGGATTCGTGTAGTTCCCCTCCTTTCTCGGCCCTCCTTTTCTCATTTTATTTTTATTTTCCTCTTTAGTACCGTTTGGTTGGTGAGAAACGCTGGTAAAATATGGGTTTCGGCAATAGGATGGAGGAGGAACTAGGGTGTTGTTTCTTATGAAGAAATATGTCACGTGACATTAGGGATTGCACGTGCAATTACATTGGGACATGCATGATTATATAGTCGAGACTAATATGACTTCCCTAAAATAAATTAATATATTCTATTATGCATGACTTGAGAATTAAATCCAGTGTAATGTCCGGATTAAATCCTATTAAAAAATCACTAGATCAAATCGAAAGTTTAGTATATTATTAACAAAAAATAATATTTAAGTTAAATTTTTAATAAAATCAAATTCATTTATATTATAAAAATATATTAATTATAATATAAATTTTAAAATAATATAAAAAAGTTTAACATTAATTATAGTATAATATATTAATTTTATATATATTATTTATATTTTATATTATAAAATTAAAAGATGAGATTTTTGTGTGTTTAAATATATTGTTTTACATATGTATTTAACTAATAAATATATTGATTTTGCCTGAGTTCTTTTTATTTAAGTGATTACAGTGTAGTATATATTAAGAATTTTTTAAATTTATTGATAATGTACACCCATCTTATAAATTAAGTGCTATAATTCAGAATTTCTAGGGAAAATGATCTTTCCTTTCATTACACTCCACATGATATATACAAATTATATTTTTGACATATATATTTTCATTAATCATTAAGTCAATCCAAGAGTTTAACTTCTTTTAATCTAAAATTTTTCCATTTATATTGTACTATTCATTTTAAACATTAATTTTATTTGAATTGAACTGACATTAGTTTATTAAAACTCAAATAAAAAACCGAACGATCCAACTCATTAGTAAACCTAGGTAGGACAGAACATTTGTGTGGGGCACATGGAATAGGTCTGTCATAGTAAAACGAAGAAGATCAAGATTCAATAACAATTTGTAAAAAAGACTGGTTGGTTCATGGAGGTTTAACCCCATGTGAAAAAGAAAGGGAAAAAGCACTGTTTTAACGGCATCAAAACACCGGATTCCGGTGAAAGCAAAGTAGCCGGAAGTTCTCTGGGTTTGGGGACCCTTGTCGTTAATATTTAAATTGACGACTCATTCATACTTTGGTTTTCACTGACAATTTCAAGCTCTTTTCATGTTAATCAACAATCTATTTAGCCATGTTCATCGCGATTCCGAAAATGAAATATTAACTTACTCAAAACTTGTTCTGCTGATAATCTCTTAAAAACATCTCTGCAAATCATCTTCCTCAACAAGTCCTTAACCTCACCCGAAACTGATCTGAAAACCCTACAAGGAAACCTTAAATTACCTCTCAAAACAGACTCAAAAATCATGACCCTCATGTCTCCCAACTCAAACATCGTCCAGATCCACGACGTCTCTGAATCCGAACACACCCTTCAACTCGTCCTCGACCTTTGTCAATCCTACACTCTTTACGACAAGATTTTACAGCCTCCACACTTGTCTGAACCCGAAGCTGCTTCGTACATTCAACAGCTTATGTCTGGTTTGGCTCATTGTCACAGGTTTGGGATCGTTCACAGAGATGTTAAACCCGACAATATTTTCTTTGACTTTAGAGGTAAATTAAAGATCGGGGATTTTGGTTCTGCAACATGGTTAGGAGAACTTGGAACGGTCGATGGATTGGTGGGGACACCTTATTAGGTTGCTCCTGAAATTGTAAGGGGGATCTTATAATGAGAAGGTTGATGTTTGGAGTGCTGGAGTGGTTTTGAACGTTATGTTGGCCGGTGTTCCGCCGTTTTATGGTGAGACGGCGGAGGATATTTTTGAGCGATTTTAATGTTAAAGCAAAATATTATTCTTTTTAAAGATTTCGAATTCAAGCAGTTGTAGTTACGAGATGTGTGCATATCAATAATTAAAAAATTCTGAACAAATACTTTTTAAATAAGTTATTCAAAATTAAAAAAAAATTACATATAAATATATTATAGATTATATTATAAAATATTAAAGATTACACTATGATATTTTATTTTGATTATTTTTTAAATAGGTGATTGAAAATAACAGTATTACTACCATAATTATCATTTATATTGTCTTGTTACTATATCTTACAGAAATTAGAAATATTATATAATCGGGAAAGGTATATAGTATCATAGTTTCTAATAAGGAAGATGTATGTAGTTTCATTATTTAAGGTTTGGCAATGTAATAACACCAAAAGTGCCATGTCACCTGTAACATCCTCAATACCGAGTTAGTGATTAAGTGTAAGATTTTAAAATTTCAGTGATCAAATTAAATAAATTGAAAAGTGAATGAATTAATTAAAAGATGTTGGTGTAGGATGAATTAATAAGTGAAGGAGAAGTAAAAGGGTCATTGAGCAAATAAAAGAATAAAATAATAATTTGGGATTCTTTTATAACCATGTGGAGCATGTGTGTTGGAAACAAAAGTTTCCAGAGATATTCTCATATTTATCTTCATCTTCTTTTCCCAAATGTGAAGCACCCAAGCCTAAGGTAAGTTTGATTTCTTTTGGTTAATCTTTCAAATTAAAGCATAGGTTTGATTCATGAAGCTTTAGGAAAGATGATAGAGATGAAAAAGATTATAGAAACTCAAAGATTGGTAAGTTATGAAGGATTAAAGATAGGAAGTGGATAAGTGAAATTTTGAATAAGGATGTATAAATGGATTTAGAAGTTGAATTTGACTTGTCATGGGTGTGAATAATAAGTTATAAGTGTTAGAATTAAGTTTGGATAACATGGAAAATTTGGTATCATTCTTAGCCTTAAGAATTTGGATGAAATATGTTATAGATTGAGTTTAGTAGCATAATAAGGATTTTATACATGAAAATTTGGATGAAGTATTGATGAATTTCGGGGGGGAGCTTATTTTGGACAGGTGCATCGATACACTATGAATGGGTACCGATGCACTAAGACCAATTTTAAAGGTGCATCGATGCATGCATTAAGGCAAACATTCGATGCATGAATATTTCAGAGTTATTTTGGGTATCGATGCACCCATAGTGCATCGGTACACTCCTAAAAGAAAAGCGAATTTTTGGTTCATTAAATTAGCCTAAGTTATTAATAGCAAGTTATAAGGTTTAGGCTTTTGATAATCGTCCCGAAAATTATGTTTATGTAGATGTCAAGCTTTAAGGAGTTCCGGAACAAGTGACAAGTAAGATCGATCGAGGAAAAGGCAAAGAGATATAGGTGAGTGCATATACATAGCATGAATATAATATTATATTCAGTTCTAGACTTGTGATAAGTCTAGATTCAATATTTTGATATATGATTACATTCCATATTATGATACATGACATGAATTCATATCATATGCATTATGTGACATGAATATGCAGGAAAAGTTATACGAGCTATGTGATAAAGGTATGGAAAATGACATGTCTATGTGATAAAGGTATGGAAATAATATGTCTACGCGATATAAACTATGTGAATTGTGAAAGCCCATGTTATGTAAATGAGACCTATAGGTATAGTTGGCATGCCAAGAGTAGAGGGTTTATGCAGTCCTTCGGGATAATTCTACATGGTCCTTCGGGACATATATGTATTCTTTGGAACATGTATGAGGTCTTTTGAGACACCTACTTGATCATTTGTATACGTATATGATTCTTAAGGAATTTCTATGTGGTCCTTATGGACAAATCTTATATGGTACTACAGTGCAATTCTACGCGGTCCTTCGGGACAAATTCTACGTAGCACTTCGGTGCAAATTTATACAAGCTGTGGTGACAACATTTGTGCACAACCTCACAGTACTCACATACCTCGGGTTCTCAGTATTGTATCATGGGCTAGTGAACTTATTATATGAATTCAAGATGGTTAATTGGATCAGGTTATAGGTAAGATACATGATTATGCAATTTACATGGTTGAATATATGATTTCATGATATTGCATTTCATTATGACATTTTCATTATAGTTTATTGTCATTATTATTATGCCTCACTAAATCTATGACTTAGCGTGAAGTGTTTTACACGTAGGTACCGAAAAGTAGAGAGATCCATCATAAACTCAGCAGAACAACTTATCTCCACTTGAAGGTCAGATCAGAAGTAGATTAGATAGTATGTCTTATTATGTGATAAATAGGTTGGCATGTAAACAAAGTCGGTAAATTAAGTATTTATGCTCTGATCGAGTTTTGTAATGTTTTAAACATATTTATGTAAATGTATAGTAATGAACGGTTAAATTTTTACAAGTTTTATGTACGTTTTACGAAAGTTACTGTAGCAGTGCATCGATACACAATTTGTATTCGATATTTTTATGCACTGTTCATGATATTGTTCATGGTACTGTTCATGGTACTATTCATACCGTATAGTATTGTTCATAAATATGTTTTTGCCTTAATTTTTTTTATAATGAAGCATAATTTTAATAGTATATTATTGTATTTTCTTAATATGAGTTCAAATGTTTTATTATTTTGTAAGAATAATATTTCAAAAAGTCAATGTGACATCTCGGACTCTTATCTAGATCGGGTACGTGTTGGGGTGTTACATCACCCCGCCCCCCACTAACCAACCCCTTTGTTAATTGCAATCTTAAAGATCTTTACTCATTTTCATTAGGTTTATGTCCCATTAATTAACTGTAAACTTCAATCACATTATATAATAATATTAATTATATATTTTTCAATCACAATTATTATTATTATTTTATTTAAATATCAATAAATTTATTATTTCAGGGTCATGTCCACTTCAAAGGTTTGTTTAGATTTCCCCAAACCTAAATGCATGATCTCTAGAGGCTTCTTCTTGTACGTTTCGAATTTTCTAGTTGTCGAAGAGTAGGAGATACTTATAATTATAGGCGAGTAAAATTCACCTTGACTCAAAAAGTTGATTTTTACAACTCGATTCGAAAAATTTTGACTCGAATTGACTTCAAGTTGTAATTTCTCGAAAAAATTTCAAATTCGAGTCAAGTTATAAAACAAAAATCATTTATATTTCTAATTAATTTAAAAAATGATATTATATTAAAAACTATATATTTCTTATTTTAAACTAGACCGTAGGCT